TGAACTCTCCTACAAACATAATATAATGACTATTTATAGGAAAACACGAAAACATAATATGGTGCTGCGACACTAGAAAGGTCGGCATAGGCCTAGTAACTGAATTAAAGCTACAATGTTATTTTTATGGTATCACCGCAGTGCTTGCTGGCGTGGATTAGTTACATGGTGAAGAGGCACATTTTTTCGCTGACAATCGTGTCCTTGAGAAGTTACAACTGCTAACACTGCTAACTTTTGGACATTGCAGTGTAGGAAGAGTAATTTGGGAGCTGAGGGGCTAAAGAGTTTAACATTCCGACACTTGACGATAGAGCACATGGCCCTACAAGGTGAACTTTTGACATCATGGCACTGTCTAACAGAAAAGTGGACATTGCCATGTCGATATTCTGGTTCTCGGCGATGTCCTCTTCATGGCGTTGTCGCGTTGTTTATTTTGTTGTCGCGGCATTTTATGAAACTTAGAATTTTATGTCTTTTCTATATTTTTTCTATACAATACAAATAAAATAACATATTTTTACTAAAAATAAAACACATTATTTACACTTATCAAATTCTCTTCAGCTTAAACTCTTGTTTGTCCTTAAGCAAATAAATATATTATAATTCTGATTAAATGATTAAACAAAGTAAAATTGATAATTTAAAATTACTAAAATATAGGATAATACATCACGATCTAAAAGTAGTAAAAATGAATAAGATTATAATTCTAGTTTAAAAAATATTAATAATTATACTAATCAGACGTCCTTATTATTTGAATCATGTATATTAATGAATTTTTTTGGGACATCTGAGCCATTAAGTCAAACTCACAGACACATTACATATGCAAGCTTCGAACCCAAATCATTTGGTTAGTAGCAACAAACCCCCAACCAGCAAACTAAGATGAGTTGTGTGTCTCCATAGAGATGAATGTAGTTGGTATTGCAATCAAGTTTCCTTAGAGTTTTGTTCTCTCGACATCTCTCTAATTAAATTTTAAAGCTACTAAAAATCAAACTAAATATCAAGTGCTACTCACAAGACTTCAGTGCAATCACATGGTAGGAGTTCCCAGGCTACTAGTTTTTGGTAATTTTCAGCTCATACTATGCCATGTTCTATAGTTCATTTTGAGAAGCTTTCTCATGAAGGCTCACACTGAGACTATTTATTTTCCAAAGTTCCTCGCTGCTCATTTATCAACAACAATAACATAAACTCTTTATCCCACTACATAAACTATGTGTTACATGAAAACTTTTTCCTCCATTGTGTTCTATTTGAAGTCAAATTTTTATTTAAATCTAATAATAATAATAATAAATCATTATGTTTTTAGATCTATCTCTATCTTGTTTAACATAGTCCATAATTAATACATCTACTCTTTTAATCGGATCATCCAAAGGCAGAGAGCATAAAAAATCATGTAAGGTGACATTCTCAAATCTTATTTGCCATTGGAGCATAAAAAATCTTTTCGTGTGCATGCTCGTTGCACATTTATCAAGAGAAGAAAACAAGTAGCCAACTTATTGGCAAATTATATCAATGATAATCCTCATCACCAAATTTGGTTGGCAGGGCAAAAAATATCGTTGATCACACCAAATTTACTTAGAGTAATCCAATCATTTTAAATGTTGAGGAAGAGGAAGTTGTTGCCTGCTACAATCAGTAGGGAAAGATGTTAGCCTTTTCCTTTCTTTAATATTAACTACAGATTTGATCGGAACAAATTTTCCAATCAAATCAAAAGATTTCTTTTATTACTCGAAGGACCGATTAATCAATTAGAATTTGTAAATCATATTTTATTATGTTATTTTTATTCTCTCCATCTTCTTCTCTATTAATGGACAAATTTAATAGTGAAAACTTTTATATTAAATTATATAGGATTATTAATTTCTAAGATAAGTTATTACTTTTAAGATAGAGATCTAAAAAATGGAAAGATAGACTTCCCTAAGAGAGAGAGAGAAAATAAGAGGGTTTTTAGAGGGAGAGAGGTCGAAATATATAAATTTATATATCAAATATATAAATTAAAATATTTAATCAATAAATAAATAAAATTGTAACGATAACACTAATGGAATAAATATTTTATATTATTATGTGGGGGTGACTGCACAAATCCTTTTTTCTCAAATTCGTTGCTGGGTTGACAGTATCATTGTAGGGTCTTAAGTTCTGGATAAAAAAGTTGAGGCTCACATTAGGTAGTTAAAGATTTGTATAAAATTTGTAGAACAACCATAATATAAATCCTTAAAAAAAAATTAGATATTAAAAATATTAATAACTAAGAATTTCGTGGTATATACAACGTTTTAAAAACCGAACTAGACGTTGAACCGATACCCGGTCGGTTCAACCGGTTGAACCGGACCCGGTCGGCCGGCCGGTTCGTTCTGTCACTGAAACTGGGCAAGCAAAGAACCGGCTCAGAATCGGTCGGACCGGCGGTCGGACCGTGAAACCAGCGAACCAGTAACCGAGCGTAAACCGCCCAGTTAAGCTCAACAAAAATTTTCAGCCGTTTGATTTAAATCATGCGGTATTGTGGTGAAGTTGTGAATATTAGGAAACGTGTAAAACATCAAAACCTATTTTACTTTTCAATTTTCTCCCTCCCGTAACTCCCAAAGCCGCCCCTCCTCTGATCCTCTTCCTTCCTCGCTGCAACTCGTTGGTGCTTTGATCATTGGCGAACTGACCAGCCAAATTAATCTTCACCATCGCTGCAGCTCCTCAAGTTAAGCTTAACCGTCGCTGCAGCTCTTCCTTCCTCGCTGGATGTTCACTGTCTAGTGTTGCTAAGTAATTTAATTTTAAACATGCTATTGTTCAGCTATTAGAAAACAACAGAGGTTCATAGTATTATAAATGAGGATAGAAGTTCAATTGCATTTGTCAACCCCTCGTTTGAGGAAAAAAAAATTTGTCTAGAACTAGAACCAGTGTTATTGGTATGGATCTGATTCTGATAATGGTGAATATGTGATTGTTGTAGTGATCTTACCTAGGATCCTTTCCCTAATTTTAGCATAATTCATGAATTTCTTCAAAGCAAAATGGAATGTATATTATTATATTTGAGCATAATTCCCTTAGAAATCCACCAGAAAGGAATAGGTAGCAAGAATCCAAGCCAGGTAAATTACTATTAACTCAATACAATTTAGGTAATGGATTTGCTAAATCTGTGTCTTGTGAGGGGAATTATTTACCACCTTATATTTTTATCATTTATGTCCTTGAATATTAGTTGTACATAGAGAGTTTGATTTGATAATCTATATCTGATCTTGTTGTAATAGGTTCATGTAGGTGAAATATGTTAGTATTTGAAGCCTATAACAAGCCAGGTATTTCATTTTTGTTATCAGTCTTGTTTTTCCATATTAATCATTTTGTATATAATTAGGTTGATGATTGTTCTTGTTTTGTAAATTTGTTATTTTTTATTGCTCCTATAAATGGCTTACAAAGTTTGTGTTTCTAATGACATTCTCACTCCCTTAATGACATCTATCTAATCGATTCTTCAGCTTAATATTAACAATGGATCAATAAAATAATCAATCTACACATTCAACTCAAAGTGTTCGTGAGAAAGTAGATATCACTTGGAACCATTTTACTGAGTGTAAAAGCATTGATGGTAGGAAGCAATACAAATGTCTTCATTGTGGAACAATTTATAAGGGAGGAGGCATTAATAGGATGAAACAACATCTAACAGGGATTAAAAGGAACATTGCTTCTTGTAAGAAGGTACCACATGACATACGACATCAGATGCAACAAAATTTGAATGAGATATCAAAGGAAAAGCAACAAGCACAACAAGACGTCTTGCAAATTAATGATCTATTTAGTGAAGATCCAGTTGAAGAAGAGAGGGGCTCATGTTCTATCACGAAATCACAAAGTTCAGATGTACAAGGTAAGGGAACTGATAAAGGAAAGAGGAAAAAATTGATGAAATTGATAATTTTTTGCACCTAGAACAAAACCAGGATCTCAACCTTCCTTAAGAAGTGTGATGACATCTAAGGAGGTAGTGCACCGTGCAGATTTAACAATTGCTAGATGATTTTATGATAGTTTCATGCATTCCATTCAATGCTATCAATTCACAAAACTTAACATCATCTACACCAACCCCAAGCAAGATTGTTGATTAACTTATATCTTTTGAGTATAATATTAAATATAGACTTATTATTTCATATTAATAATTTGTAGAAGAAGACAGCTTATCTAATATATGTGATGAAGATGACATACCATGTGAGGATGCAAAAGTATTGGGATGCAAGATTTTGATGAAGGAGAGTTTGAGAATCCATCATTCGATCACACAAATTTAGTGGATGATTATTAGATTCACTATGAGTGTTTTGAGTTTTTTTAAATGCGAACTTGTATAAACCATTTAATGCCAATTATTTTTTTTTTGTCTCTATGGTATTAAATTAAAACTTTTTATATTTATGAATTTTGAGTTTGTCTTATTAATAAAGTGTCATAATTTTGCTATAAGTTATGAAGAGGTATGTTATATGTTGCCAATTTAATCTTTTTTAATGTCTATTTTGTTATATATTTTATTTCATTTTCTTTTACTCATTTCATTTTTTAATAAATTGACATAATAGAGAAGGAGAAGTGAAGATGGTTGCATTCATCAACTTCCAACACACAATAGAGCTCAACAAAAGGTATGTTATTTACTTATTTGCTTATGTTTTATAAACTTTATTGATGCAATATTTATATTATTTGATTAGTTTGATATGATAATGAAATGTATAGTGAATGCATCCGAGGAAATTTTTTCATTCATTTTATAATTTTTAATATTATTATTATTTATTTCATCATTCAATCATGAACCTCTCATTCTTCCGGTCTATTGTCTCATCCGATTTTCGAAAACATTGGGTATATATACAAATCCCAATATTTTTTCTATTACTCTTCTTTTTCACTCATTAAATCATTCAATTTTTCATTCAAAGAATATCTAACAGACCAGTAAAGTAAGTACATAAACACCAATGTTCAAATAAGGCAGAGAAAAAAAAAGAAAAGAAAAACACAGCTGGTAACATTCAAGTACTACTTGAAAACTGCTCCAGATGTTTTGAATCAAAACTCTCCATCCTTCTTCACCGAACCACCAGCTGTATCAATCTCCCTACGCCGCCGAGCTTCGATTAATCCGACCGTCGCCATGCTGAGTATCATCAGACCACCCGTGCTTCGTAGCTTCGAAAGCCTCCCCATCTCCCCACAGCGCATACGCCTCCTCTCCGTGCACGGCGTCGTCACCAACAACGAGCTCTTCCTCCGGCATTCGAAGCGGGATGGCGGTGCGAATAATAAGGCAGATAATGGAGGTCACAACGACGTTCCAGCCGATAACGAAGAGCGCGCCGACAATCTGTTTTAGGAACTGGACTCCGCCGGGGCTGCCGTAGAAGGCGCCCCGGGAGTTTGTGACGGGGAGAAAGAGGGAGCAGAGTGTGGGTTCGGCGAAGAGGCCGGTGGTGGCCCCACCGAGGAAGCCGGCGACGGCGTGGGTGTGGAAAACGCCGAGTGTGTCGTCTACTTTCTGGAGTAGGGAGGAGCGTTTGTGGACTATCATCATTGTGAACCAGGGGAGGCTGCCGGAGAGGACGCCCATGGCAATGGCCGCCCATCCTTGCACCAATCCTGAATTTTAAATCAGGATATTTTCAAAATTTAAATAATTAGGTTTATTTTACATTTTGCAATAATCTACACTATTTGAATGCGGACTTTAAAAAAAATAAATAAATAAGTCGAGCCAACATATTTGAACAATAATAACTTTAAATATTTTTTTTCAAATAAATAAAATTAAATCGCATCTAGCCTTTCAACATTTTATATTATTAAAGCTCTTCCTCAATCACAATTCTATTTTTTTTTTAAATAACTTTTTAATGTTATTCATCATGAAAATAATCATCAAATAAAATCCAATTAATTTTTTTTCATAAACACAAATTATAAAATTTTTATGAAAAAAATATTTTTTAAAGCTATTGAAAAAAGTATCTTCCTAATGTAATATATTTTTTTAAATAATTAAAATGGAGTAGCCGAAAAGAATTATGATTATGATCTAAAATTAAAATTTAAAAAAATTATCCCAAATATACCGTAAATTATAGGTATAAAACGGCCTACAAAGTTAAATAAATTACTATATGTAATGAATATGACTATGTCCACGCTTAGCTTATTGTTTAATGAGCCAAATTAAATCTCTCTGGCAATTCTGTTTTATTCAAAGGACAAGTTGAACCGACCCGAGAAATAAATTGTTAATCTCACGAGCAGATGATAGCCTCACTATTAGCTAAAGAATATTTTTTAACTTCTAAGAAATATTAAATTTTTAAACATTTATGAAATAGATTTATTTATTAGTCTATATCAAAACTCTACCGCTAAATTTGACATTTCGTCCGAAACTATTGGGAAGTTATAGGAAAAAAAACAAATATAAAAGTATCTGAAAAGGATATTGAAATAGATATAATAAAAACATATTTTCTAACAGGCAATAGACATATAAATTAAACATATTATGTGATAAAAGAGAAAATTTTATTATTAAAATATATAATATAAGAAAAAATTGAAAATACTTAATTTTTTAATAATTTAATTCTTAAAAAAAAAAAGTTGTGCACAAATTGGCTTCTTTAATATAGTACTAATGCTAGCGGAAGAGGAAACCGAGTTGAATGACGAGAAGTCAACGTTCCAACTGCCTTGGATTCAGGCCGCTCAAAATTATAATATTATTCTCCACAATTATTTAACATAATTTTAAAATATACTTATTATGTAATATTTTTTTTATTAAAATTATATGAAATATTAAAATCCATAGTATAATTTTAAATTATAGATTTCGTTTGAGATAATTTTTTAGCATTTTTAAACTAATTTTTTAATAAATATTTATTGTTAAAAAAATTACTTTAAAAAATAATAAAAAAATTATCCTAAATAAAATCTTAAAAGTAACATGTGCAAAAATATTCGTTCAATTATATTTATGAATTAATATTATTTTGATCACATACAAGTAATTTTTTTATTTTATGCAAAATAAATTTATTTAATTTTTATAAATTATGCAACTCATTTTAACTTTGGGTGTGTTTGATATCACTGTATATTTTATAAAGTTAATTGTAAAATTATAGTGAGAAAAATAACATTGCTAATCTGGTCCTAAAAAATATTTTTTCAATATAAATTTAATTGAAAAGAAGCCAGAGAGGAGTAGCTAAACAGAATTATAATTGTTAAGCTCTAAATAGTTATCTAATATAATTAACTTTAACGAATAAAAATACTAAATAATTTCCTTAAAAAAAAACCTGCGCCGGGAGTTATGCAAACGAGTCCGGTGATCATTCCCTGCACGGCTCCAATGACCGACGGCTTCTTAAAGAAGATGACATCGAGACAAGTCCACACGAGGAGGCTGGTGGCCGCGCAGATATTCGTGTTCAGCACCGCTAAGGAAGAGTCGGTGTTGGCCGCGTACGGGTCGCCCCCATTGAAGCCCGCCCAGCCCATCCATAGCAGTCCAGCCCCCACGAGCATGAGAAGCAAGTTGTTGGGCGGGAACCTCTCCCGGTCCTTCGTTGACCTCGGCCCAACCTATCATATTAATGCCAATATTAAATATACATTAACTCTACATTTAAGTTGACCGCTTTATTTAAAAAAAATTCTTTTTATTTAGATATTTTGACAATCTAACCAAAATTTGATCAGAATAAGATTAAAAAAAAAATAGACAAGATTTTTTAATTATATTTAAAAAATATTATATTAAGTAATATATATATATATATATATATAATAGAGCCCTTGATTCGGACTCATTTGGGCTCGGATTGGGTTGATCTTGGTGTCGTTGGGTTCGTATTTCCGAGACGCTCAGTTTGACTGTAAGCTCGCTGAAATCGGAGTTCATATGCTCCCGAAATTAATTTTTGAAGCTTCCAACTAGTTTTTGCCTCGAGATTCGTGCCCGATCAAGATGATTTTGCGATGTCGTATCAATAATATAATTTTTTCTTATTTAATTTTTGAGCGTATTTTATTTCACATATTCTTTATTATATTTAAATAAAATTGAATAATTAGTTAAATTAATTTTGATAATAATTATAAATATCTAATAATTTAATTATATTAACAAATCATATTGTTTTCTAATTAAAAAAATCTTATAATTGTACAAACCATTACAAAGCTTATTTTTAAAAGCTTGGAATGGTCCGGTGATGTGTAAACGGAATCCTGATTTAAGATTCCGCCAGTCATACTCTTGATATTTACACCCCGTAGATTAAATGGGAGCGCGGACACCACGAGGCCATTAAAGTTTGTTTGACTTTTCTTTTGTTCATATGCTGACGAATTACGGGATGTCATTATCTACTTTTTCTTGGATTAAAAAGATTTGGTTAAAAAATATTAGAAAAAATATTTTATTATTAAATTTAAATGAGAATTTAATTTTTAATAGGACATAATGATTAAAAAGGATTCATATAGCCGACTTATGAGATAATCTTGTGAATTGACGGCGATAAAATTTGGAAAAAATAGAATAAATGTGTATGCAGCGGAAAGTTTTAATTATTAATTAAGGGATTTTGAATTCAAGTATTTTATATATAATATGAATATGAGTTTATCTTAATTGATATAAATATCTTTCAAATAAAAAAAAAAATATATGTTGGTTAAGACTTCGTTGCAGACGGATTTCTTACTGTTTTTTAAAATAGTTTATTAATTAAAAATTAAAAATTTCGTTCTGAAAAATTGGTTTAAAAGCAGTAATAGATCCGTCCCAAACAAAGCTTAAGAGTTATAATATCGTGAATTTGATTTTGATGATTTAAATTTTAATTATTCTTTTGCCGGATGATGAAGTTATGGCCTATTGGTGACTTATCTTTTTGTTCTTCGAGTTTTCATGTTGCTTTCATCTTATGGATGGCCTTATGCAACCATGGGTTGCAGCTTCTCGAGAGGATTCTTTCATCTGCTTCTATTGATTTTAGCCAATTTCTATCATGTTCATTTTCTTCTGTTAGTTTTCTACTATATAGTTTATTTCACTGAAAGAGTTTTCATTTATTTGAGATAGCTCTCTTATTATTTTGTTTTCCATTTCACGATAATAATTTTTGTTTTGCAGTTATTTTTTTCCTACTTAAAAAAATATTTTTGTACTAGGAAATTGCTATTTACAATAGTTTAAAAAAATTATTTTCTCCACAACAGCTTTATAAAAATGTAAGAAGGATATCCCAAACGAAGTCTTGGAATTTATTGGGGCGGCTACAGTGTTTTATAAAGTTTATTATGAAATTGTTGTTGAGAAAATTTTTTTAAGCTACTTTTATTGAAAAAATAATAATTTTCTTTCATAAATTTTTTTGAAAAACAACGAGAATTGAGAAGATAGCAAGAAAAAGAGCCAAATAACATTATAATTGTAATATACAAAAATAAAATAACGAGAAAACTTTCTCAAATAGATCCTTAATTTTCATCATCTTTGTGAATTTTGTAATCTTCTCTTGGGCTCTTAGCTAGAATTGTTATTAGCTACATACTTTTTTCTAGAAAAATGGAATTGGACTCCTATAATTTTTTTTTTAATGATTCAAATATATATTAAAAATGATTTAATTATTATTTTGATTTAAATGCGTGTATGTACGATAAATTTTATGGAGCATTAGATGTATGTGAGCTGTTAGCCTGTTATGAATTTGGGAATGTTTTAATTGTCTTTTCATAGAAGCTTTTGACTGAGTATAAAGATTATAAAATGATGCTATGTATTTAATTAATACAAATATTGTTCTAAATTATTTAGATATTTTTTGTATTATGATAAAATACATTTTGAATGTATTATTAAAATTATATTACAAAATTGTATTCAATAACAATATTTTGTCCTAATATAAGTTTTATTTTGACAATATATACACTTATATATTATAAAATTTATTTCATAATTTATTATGTTCATTAATATTAGGGGTGTCAATTTCGGGTCATAGGTCGGGTTCGGGTCGAATCCAGAACTGACCCGATTTCAAACGGGTCGACCCTAACCCGACACGATAGGTAAACGTGTCTGAAATTTAAACGTGGACCCGACCCGACGGGTTGCCGGGTTGACCCGACCTGACACAGGAAGGCGGACTGCCTGGCGCGCGGACACAGACGCACGTGACTGGGTCGCTCGGACTACCAGGCGCAGACGCGAGCGACGGGGTCGGGGGCGGGCAGGAGCGCGGGCAGGCAGGTAGGTGAGCGATTTTCATTTATTTGTGCAACTGATTATTAGAATTGAGTTTAAGATTGTTTGAACTCAGCATTATAAATGATTTAAGAACCTAATTATGTATTATTTAATCCAAATATTTTTTTTTAATTATTTGTATATCTTTTATTTCATGAACATATATATTACTAGAGTTGCTTGAAACTTTTTTTTTTTAATATGAAAAGCTTGTTTTGAAAAGAAATTTTGACTTCATATCTCATATTGAGCATGTGTACGCTAATATCTCCGCTACATATATATTTTTTAAAATATGCTTGGAAATTCATTTTTGGTGAAATGACGCTTATACATAACCTTGTAAATCGTTTAAAATTAATTTGAAATAGTTCAAATAGAATTGACTCAAATATAATTCAAACTCTATTTGAACCTTGTTCAAAGTCATTGCACTCACAAGTCTTTCAAAATTAATTTAACCCTAATTTAAACTTAGTTTAATAACGTTTTGAATCTTATTCAAATTAAACTATGGTTCAAACCTAATTTGAACAAATGTTCAAATATTGTTCAAACCTGATTTTAATCTCATTATCCTTATTAGAAGACGATCGCATTGTTGCCTACCTATACATATTCTGACGATCACATTAATGCCTACTCCCAACCAACTATATCATGAACTCCTCTCTCCCTCGCACTTTACCGAACCAATCAATGCATTCTCCCAATGAGCTCCATTATGGCTTGTGGCCCTATCAACTCCTTCCCAAACAAATCCCCTCAAGAACTCGTGTTCTCCTTGACATGGTTCAAATCTGGTCATTGCCTTCACCAGTGAGAGACAAAAGACACTCGTTGCATGAATGTGTTTGAATTTTGGTTTCAATAGGATTTGAGCCAATTCAAACATATTTTGTATGGCTTTGATCGAATTTGAAAAATAATTCACAAATATAAATGCTATTTCTCATTGAAAGAACTATTATCTAAAATAAACTTTTGAACATATATATTTCTCCAAAAAAATATATAGAGGGGTATTCAAATAGGCGCTATATGAATAGAATCAAATCTCATTTTAACATTTATAGTCCTTGCAATCAAAAATATCATCCAATAATGGATGACGGATATGAGTGGCATATGGATTGAAATTGATAATGTCAATGTGATAAAGCTAGTACAAAAAACAATGGAAAAGATTAAATGGAATTTTATGGACACGTGGGATTCCTAAAATTTCTTTTCTTATGCTTTTTAAAAATTTAATTTTCAATTATGTACATAGGAATCGTAATATTGTTTTCTCATTTTTGTGCAGCCTATGCAATGTTAGGAAATTTTTATTTTGTAAATGTTTAGATAATAACTTCCCATTAATATTATTTTCTATGATAAAAGAGGTGTGTGATAGGATAGCTAACACCTAGTGTTATAATTTTTTTTGAATAATTACAAAATGAAGTTCATAGAAAAAAGAATACAAAAATGGATGTTTTTGAGTCAAGATAATAAGAAAATATAATAAGAAAGTAATGGAAATTATTTATTCATTGCATTTCACTTTCATTATCTTTTATATTGGGTCATATTTATAGAATACTATGTATTATGTTAATTCACTTAACCGAACTAATTTATTATTAACTAATAAATTATTTACAAATGAATTCTCAAATAAAGCACTAGGATGAGAATCTGATCTTAGCTTAAACATTTTGTAATATTTTGTGTTTGTACAATTACATTAGTAGAGAGATAGAGTGTTTAACATCTTAGCTTTGCATGAAGGTATAGTGCACACAAATAAGAGAGGGGAGATGTGAGAATCATGAGAGACCATATTTTTAATGTGAAAAATACAGAAAAGGAAAAAATCACAAGGCCTAGCCTAATTAAAATGATTCCACTAATTTTTGTATTTGATTACAAGTGAAGCCCTTCCTTGGGGGAATTAAGGAAATGATATATTATAAAGAATGCATTGGTTGGCTAAGGTTGGGGCCCATTGGCAGAAATCCATCTTCAAGGGCTAAACTTGGGAGTTAGAGTGATGTAGACAACGTACAACAATCTTATAATTGATGGCTTTTGTTGGTATTATTGATGATGGTAAGTGCAAAAATTGCTAGGTATTAGAGTAGTTAGGTGATTATGGTTAACAAATTGTAGCTTGGTGGACCATAGTTGGGTGACATAGGTTGTAGGATCGCAGTTGGGCGATAGAGATTGGAGGACTATAGTTGGATGATGGAGATTAGAGGACTGTAGTCAGGTGATGGGGTATGAGGACTTTAGTCAGTGAGTGATGAGTGTTGGAAGGACCATACTTGAGGTATCATAATCAGTAGGTGA